TAATATTCATATATTAATAATTAATAATTTAGGTTTGGACATTCTAAAAATTATTTTAGCTAACTTAAGTATTTTAATATCAATTGTACTAATATAACCCTTTATTTCTTTGTAATTTTACAGAGTGAGACACTAAATGACTAATATATGCCTAACTTTTGATTTGTTTAATTCAATTAGCTATTAAATTTAAATGTTTTAAAAGTTGATAACTTTTGTATTTATTATCAAGTTTACATATATAATATATCAAATTAAACGTTTTTTGATGATCTCCGATTTGACATCCATATTGTATATATGAAATAAATAAATTCATAGGAATATCGATCTGAAATTGCGCAATTATATTTATCTTTATAATGATAAAAATAATAATATTTATTAAAATTCATTAGAAAAATAAAATTATTTCTCAATTGATATATTTATGTTTAATGTAGTTATATGTTGTAAGTTAAAAAAATTATTATAATATAACACAGATAAGTTGCATAAATAAAAAGTGTCATACTAAATATATAATATATATATATATATTTATAAAAGTTATTTAAATTTTCAACTATTTTTTCTCATTAATTTTAGATTTTAAGAAAAAAAATTAGCAAGCACTCGGGCATTGTACTAGTCGAATAGATAAAAAAGAATAGATAAAAATTATTTATAGGTATAATAATAAAACTTCATATTTTGATTAATTAGACAATATAATGAATAGACCGTCATGACTGGAAAACAGCTCAATATCAATTCCGTCGGCCCTCGCCGCCCGCCGCCGCTTTTGGAGATCAATACCGGGCCACCGGCCACCTCAAATCTCGCACTCGAACAGCCGCACGGATTTCGCAAAGCCTCAGCCTTCGGATCAGGTTTTCAGTTGGTCTCGGTCGGCCTGCAGCCCTCACTCCTCAGCCCGGCCGCTCCTCACTTCTCAGCCATCCGGTCTAACTTCTCAGCCTCTATGTATTCATTTTCCTTCTGTTCTTTCTTTAATTGTTTGGTGCCGATAGGATGTTTGGGCAAATTCAAATTGCGCTCGGCCGCTTTTGTTGCAAGACCGCGGCGCGCGGGCCGGGCCGCCGTTTGGCAATTCCGATTAATATCAAGGTTTGTTTTTGTTTCAGATCGTCTACCCACAACGATAGCCCTCGACATACTTCAGATCAGGTATACAATTTCGTGTGTCCATCTAACAATTTTGATCCACAATGCATTTCTTTTCCGTTTTGGTTGTTTGTGTATATGCGTATGGCTTTTTCTTGATTCTGATTGATTATCCAGAGTGCCTTTATTCAAATGTTTACTTACAATTTTGTGTTGATTGAAGGTGTAGAATGTATGTACACTTTGGCTGGTTCAAATAGTTGTAAATGACTTGAGAAGGATCATTTTATTTGTTGGGAGAAAATGAAATCTCGGTAAAACCTTAAAAAAAAAAAATCCTTTCCGTCATAATTTTCACTCCACTAGCAATGGCGGCATTCTATCGTCTATCTCGAATCAGCCGTCATCTCCACAATATCACACGCCGTGACTCTTTTATCTCCATCGTGGACTCATCCTATTCCCACTCTCCATTGCCCTCAAATAATCCTAACATAAGTTCTCTCCATGCTCTTCGCCACCTGTACCATCTTGCCGGATTCTCCGGAGACTTTCGCCCCAAAAATCAATGCCACAGTTTTGGCAGCTCAATCAGGCCAATTGGCGCCTACTACGAGCTTCTTCAGAGCTCCTGCTTTTGCTCTGCAGCATCTGAGGAAAAAGGAGAAGAAAAATCGAAGAATTTAAAGCGCAGCGAAGGTGATGGTTCGTGGATCGATGTTTATTTGCCCGAGAAGGTACGTCCTTATGCTCGTCTTGCCCGGCTTAACAATCAGATCGGTACTTGGCTCCTGGCCTGGCCCTGTATGTGGTATGTTTACTAATTTTTCCTATTTTTCAGCTTCTGATTTTTGTTTAATGTTGTCATGTTCGTGGAAGTGTTATACGTTTTAATAGGAACTCAAGAGATAGAAGTTATTGACAAATAAATGAGAGCCTATGTCCATTGTATCTCTTCTTCAACTGGTATCAAGTTTAGGATAGATTTTTGCTGTATTGAGTGTTCAAGAATGTAGTAGCGAGATGCGTGCCTAACTTCTTACAGACTGCATTACCTCGTCTCGTACTCCAAGAAATTTAGGACATCATAAAGTTGAGTGAGACACTAATGATGATGATGTTCACGATATTCACACATTTATTGTTTTGTCATTTAGGTCAATTACAATGGCCGCAGCTCCAGGGAGCCTTCCGGATATCAAGATGATGATGCTCTTCGGCACAGGGGCATTGCTTTTGCGAGGTGCAGGGTGCACTGTTAATGATCTACTTGATCGAGATATTGATACCAAGGTAATTATATTCCTGCTTCAGAATGCTACATAGAGCACTATCAATGATCTACTCTTGATGCCTTGGGTTGGGAAGTATGAAGTATTTAGTCATTATAAGTTGTTTCTTGTTTTGCCTTTTGTTTTGTTTGGGGGGTACATGTTGTAAGGAGGCAGATTCTAATTTTTTCCTTACAGTCATTTTAGTTTAACATTGTTTTTCGTGATAATTAAGTGTTTTCTAGTTATAAATTGTTTCTAGTTTTCCCATTTGTTTTGCTTGGGGTGTACATGTAGTAAGGAGGCTGATTCTAAGCTGCTCTGTAGTTTCATTTTAGTTTAATATCGTTCCTTGTGATGATCTTTTTATTTGTTTTTGATAGCTTAATGTGGTGTAGGTAGAAAGGACAAGGCTGAGGCCCATTGCCAGTGGTGTCCTATCACCATTTCAAGGAACTTGTTTTCTTGGTTTTCAGTTACTTTTGGGGTTGGGGATTCTTCTGCAGCTTAACAATTTTAGGTTTGTAACCGTTCTTTGCTCTAACTATCCTAAATCTTGCTTTGCATAAGTTACTCGGTGCAAAATTGCGTGCTTGCTTTACATATATTTGTTTTTTAATATAATGATTTCTGAGACGTCGTTCAATTCGTATTACAGTTTCTATATGTTGGAATTATTTAATGAGCATTGAGAAGGTATATATATTATCTCATTTCTCTTTCAAGTATAAAATTTATGACATTATAAAATGCTAATACTAGGACCCTTTCTGTGCAAAATTGCCATGAGTATTTTCATTTTGCTACAATAAACAATGTCCTTTCCTGAAAGCACAAAACAAACATTACTAATTATTACAACTTAGGCCATTGATCAAGTTAAAGTTGTTAAAAAGAACAGTAAGTATCTAAGTGTTGCCAATTACTGGTTAATAGATCTGTCTTTTGCATGTCTCATTTTTTCCATGTTTTTCTTAGATAATGCCCATGTATATGCACAATGAGCTTCTTCCACCATTAATACTGAGGAGAAAGTGGTCCAGAAGTTGCTTTAATGATGTAGATGTACCTAACTATCATATAAATCATAAGCTACTGACAGAACTATAATAGGGCTTTAGAGGCAAGAATGAAGGGAAACTCGTTGAGAAAAATCAGTTAATTCTATCATAAATAATGGGATCATGACATGTTCAGGCTACTTGAGTATTTTGTGTGCTGCCATTTATTTAAGAAATAGGTGGAAAGCGCATCACTTGCATCTATTGAATGAAAGTGAAATTCAACCCGTCTCTCACACCAATAAAGCGACATCTACAGAAAGGAAAGCTATTGATAACTTATGTATGCTCTTTTCTATGTTGAATTTAGCTCGTTGAATATTTTGCAGCCGTGTGTTGGGAGCTTCATCGTTGCTGCTTGTTTTTTCGTACCCCCTCATGAAGAGACTAACATTTTGGGTAATAGGTTCTGATCTCATTTCTTATTTATCCTTTACTTACCTCTCTCTTTCCTTTTCTGAGTCTATCTTGAGAAGAAAGCATAAATGCATGACACGAGCACACAACTACGTACACACACACACAACCGATGGATCTATCCATCTCACCAGAAAATGTGAAAAAGATTACCTAATACATCTAAAACTCCATTACTGGAAAATGCAGCCTCAGGCCTACCTTGGTTTGACATTTAACTGGGGAGCTTTACTTGGCTGGGCTGCTGTTAAAGGAAGCCTCGATCCCACTGTTGTACTTCCTCTTTATGCTTCTGGTGTATTTTGGACTCTTGTATATGATACAATCTATGCTCATCAGGTATAGACTTAATCTTTTCGTATTTCTATCCCATGAATATGATTCCACAAGTTAACACTATATTTAAGCTTAGTTTTTGGTATTAGGCTTTCCTAGGTATTTTGTTGAGTTTTGGAAGTCGTCTTCTAAACTACAATACAAACTCACACGCACACTCTCTATATGAGCATTAAGCAACTCGGACATATCCTTGTTGAGGTTGATATTTTTTGGAAAATTTATATTTTGCATCTTGTTTTCTCGAAAGCCCCTAACTATGAAGCTCAAGATACTCGTAAGGCCGCAATGAGTAATATTCTTGGGACATTGAAATATCACCGTACGTTTCAGGACAAGGAAGACGATGTGAAGGTTGGTGTTAAGTCAACAGCCTTAAGATTTGGGGATTCAACTAAAGAATGGGTTGCTGGCTTTGGAGTAGCATGCATCGGTAGCCTTGCCCTTAGCGGATATAATGCCAATCTTGGTATATATATATGCTTTTTTGAAGCAACCATATATCTCTTCGGATTTGCTACTTTAATCATATTGATATTGTTGTTGTGGATGGAACAGAATGGCCATATTACTCGTTTTTAGCAGCTGCCGCTGCCCAATTAACTTGGCAGATATCGACAGTCGATCTATCAAGTCGTGCCGATTGCAGCAAAAAGTGGGTACTCCTTACTTGATTACATGATAAGTTCTGATTATTCATTTAATATAGGTGTTCATGTGTGTGCTTATCATATATGTCAGGGTATTATTCATTTGTATAGGTGTTTAATTTGGTTTTGTGTGTTTGTCTAGTAAGCCTAGGAATGAGTATAATTATTATCTTATTGAGTTCTTTCAGGTTGAAATTCTGGAACTATCGATTAATACTATAATCTAATTATTGGAGTTACTTAGGCCATCTTCTCTTTTTCTCCTTGTTAACAGATTCATATCCAATAAGTGGTTTGGCGCTATTGTCTGGAGTGGGATCTTGTTCGGAAAACTCCTATCTTGATGGTATGGACTTATTTTTCGAGAAAAACTTCTAATACGAACCAGATATGCATTTTATTTTGCTTTAACTACTTTTAACAAGAATTGTAATTTTTGGAGGTGAAGTTTTTAACAAATTTTCTGGTAAACTTTGGATACAAAAATCAAGAAATACATCCTTGTATTTTGCTTATTTAGAATCATACAAGGCATATTTCTTATTCTCAACCAATTGCCTGTTTCTTTTCAGCAAATGTTAAGAAAGCTCGACGAAATGATGAACAAGAAAGGCGCCCGGGAGAGGTATCTAGAGACTAAGAAAATTACTGTACCTCTCATGATTTTTGGCCAATATATTTTTGCTGTCGACCGAACTTTACATGTCGTTTACGTTCTTTTCTTCCTTCTTTTTTGTTGCATTTTTTTTTTTTTTTATTTGTGGGTGTGGATTTTATTTCTTTAAAAATGATGCTTGTGCCTGCCCTACTGCCTAGCTGTGATTGTATCAAGCAGGTAGACAATGATTTAGGTCCCCACATATTTTTGCTTAAGGATTAAATAATTATTTGGGAGGGGTTTATTTTCTTTAATCATTGACTTAATTGCAGATAGAGCTGATCAACAGGAGAGCCAATAGGAATCCAGATTTTTGGATGTTATGAAAAAAAAAAATCCTTCACAAATCTAGTCCACAAGAGGTTCACTTAAAGAGAATAGAATATTTGGATTAGAAATCTGCCTGTGATTTTGATAGATCACAATAATAATTAAAAAAAAAAAAAAAACAGTATTACACTTCCCCTTGAATTTACCTGGGAAAAGTCCAAACTACAAACTAAGTACACAATCCATAAAGGGTGTAAGCAAGCCAAGCTTGAATCGGCACTTTAACTTAATGAGCTCATAATTGAGCTCGAGCTTGACTCGTTTGTCAATATTAACGAGTCTAGCTCGAGCCTTAATGAGTCGGAATCAAGCTTTAACAAGTTGAATTGTAAAAACTTTCATATAGCTAGGTTCGTTAACCAAACAAGCTTTATATGAATTCGAGCTTGATTCTTTATCAAACGACCCAAGTCGAGCCCAAGCCCTAACGAGTGGCCAGTTTAATTTGACAATTTCTAATTTGCTATTTGATATACTTTTTTTTTTCAAACGACAAATATGATTAAATTAAATGAAAACGCTATGATTGGATATAAAAAAGATTTGGTTTTGTTTGATTTTTTTTGTTTGGTTTGGTTAGTTTTGAAAAAGTTGGTATGATTAGTCGTAAGTGTGTATTAAAATATTATTTAAAATAAAATAATTAAAGTTGATTTGATGTAAAGTAGGAGAGAAGATTTGAAGTGGGTTAGTTAAAATAATGCGAGTGGATTAATAGTGAATTAAGGTTGATCTGGTGTGTAAGAATGATTGATTGATATTATTTAATTATATTGATAATATCGATGATAGTGGGGTTGAGTTAAAGTTGAGTTAAAACAAATGGTTGAGTTAAAAATGTTTGGATTTTTTGAGAAATTTTGTATCCAATCATGCTCGAATTCATATATTGTGGAAAAAAATGTCCCTCAAC